CCAACAATATGTACAATGTTTACATGTCTGTTTGTTCTGATTTTTATTTACTAGTTTAGCATTTGTTTTTTTCTCTTTCAAGTTTACTCTGTAGAAAATTATAGTAAAAATTTTCCAAGTCCATAATTTATCAATCTTTTTTGAACGCAATATTTTACTAGAAAGTTTAATATTTAAAATTTTTAATTATTGGGATAATTTTTATGTGCACAGTAAATCATCTTCATGTTTTCTAAAAAATTTTAGATCAAAGTTAAGTGAAATTTTTGTTATTAATTTTCTTTTAGAAGTTATTGTAATGGGGTCGATTTTTAAGATTCATAATTTTGTCATGTATTTACGTTTTGAGACATTTAAAAGTATATCGGAAGGTTTAATGGTAATGTATGTACGTATGTCCGGTTTTTTTTCTTTGTCGATATCTCAAGAACCACAAGAAAGTTTTAATCTAGTTGCTAATGATTCCATATTACTCTAAACAATTATCTATTGTTTATAAAAATTTCAATCTTTTATAAACTAAAAGATGACAAAATTATGGATTTTAATAAATGAGAAGTTTTTTTATTGATTCTTTCGAGTTTAAATTAACAAAAAAAAGGACGTCAGATCTATTTTATGTTGTTGTTACATAATTTTTACTGCACACAAAAAAATCTAATGGACTTTTATCAAAACTTTATATAAGACAGAAATAAAAATGGGAATTTTTTGTCCAATGCTGTGGTTATTCTATTGTGCACTTGAAATAAGGAAAGTTTTGACTGAAAAGATGTATTTTAAATAAAAAGACAATGTTAAGTTAACCACAAATTCAGCCATTTTATAACAAAGGGTTGGTTCAAGTATAAACGAAATGTAAATCAGAGGATCTAAAGAGAAACAGTGTATAAAAAATATAGACAATTCAGATGAAAACATTGTCATGACAAAATACCATACAATGAGTGCACCAATGAAAATAAAACCGAATCGATGCCGTACAATCGAAAGAAAATTAAACGGGTCGTGTGCGTTGCATCGGATCAAGTGATTTTCCTTCTTTTTTATTTTTTATTGTATTTTATAAAATTTTTTTTTTTTTCAATTTAAAAATTTTATTGAGCTCAGCTTTCTTTGAGGTTGCTTGCGTGCATTGCACAGGCATTCAATATACCAGAACACGAATAGAGGTGCGCAGAAAACTTCAGAGAGGTACCCTATTTATTTTTTCCTTTTCACTTATAGAAAGAGGCACCGCAATAAACCCCCATCCTGTCACGGTAACAGTAACCAACGATTTATTGCGTGGGCACAACGAGCGCGCGTACACCAACGCGTTACGGTAATGACTGTGAAATACGACAGCACTCTACTCTTTTCTGTACGTTTGTTACTTCTACCCTCCTACTCGCGGTGAGAAAACACACTAGACTTTCAAATCGATTCACGATCTTTCGAAAACAAAATGTCTAAGTGAATTTATTCATCAGAATTTACAGTCTTGGCAAAATTATTTTACGACTTTCAACTCTTTCAATAGTTAAACTGATCACCATAAAACTATTCAATAACTTATCGTTTCAATTTTGCTTCTTATTATTTATTGCCATATTTACATTCACAGAACGTTATTTATTGAAGAGTTTTTTTTTGTTTGAATTATTTTCATTGAAAAATGTTACATCTCTGTTGTTTTTCATGTTAAATAAAATTTATATTCATTTAGAATAAATTAGTTGATACTAATTGACTATCAACAGCTGTTTATTGATGGTATCAGATTCTAAATGAAGATAATTTAGCTGAACAAATCAATAGAATCCAAGTCTCAGTGTTCTAAGAAGAAATAAGATTAGCACATTACTGGTTTAAGCAGTATGTTTAACTGCTGCTGGATGTTGAACCAAGAATTCTTGACTAATTTATTAATGGATCTGTCTTGCTGACTATTAGAACAATTAATTCAGTAAGAATTACGGATGAAATCAATGGCAAATTTGTTTGATTACAAAAGTAAACTTTTCTGCTCCAATCTGACGTCAACTGCAGAAACTTGTCTTGATTATTAGAGCTTGATTTACCAAAAGAAAATGGAGAACAGTATTTTTAGTTGCTTGCTATAAGCTGTAATGCATCTTTTAATGCAATGAGTAAACAACAATAATACCATCATTGATATCATAATTTTAATAACAAAGGTTTTATCAATTCATTAATAAACAAATATGGAATTAAAAATTTAATTGGTGTAATTTCAGAGAATAAAGTTAATTGTTCCATCACGACTCGAGTTAAAAAAAAACGACAGAAACAATACCTGAAATTTCGAATCCATAATTAGTTTGAATTTTGTTACCTGTTGGTTTTTTGTTTTCAAAAGATTGTGTTAACCTAGCAAGTATGATAATTCAAAATAAATTACAACATGACTTGACAAGTGGTTTATCAAACAAACTGCGAGTATATACATTAACGTTTTTTTCTCTTCTGGAAGCTTGGTGGGTAAAGTCTTGTTCATACTCTCCAGGGTACGTTTGGACGTTGATTCGATTATTTTTACCAGGATATACACATTGCGCTTACATCCCACGAGAAATTATCGGACACGTCACGAATGTTTTTCGGACATTGGTATAATGGAGTTGAGGTCCATATGTGTGTGTGGATGTTGAACATAGGTACATAGATAAATGGAAAAAATGTAGTAAGGGTTAAACAGATAAATGTATTTTCGTTATTGTCATCTATCTATGTAAAATCGACCAGAGTTATTTGGTCTCTATTGCACCATGCCTCGTGAACGATTTGTGGAGGAATGTGTTAGGAATTCGTTAAAAAGGGATTCTTTTTTAAATAGCATCGAAAAAAAGCCTTAAATCACCAGTTATAATAAAAAAAAATTGCTTATTCAAGTGAGTTAAATTTTTTTTTCTTTTTCAATTCAAATATTTATCATGTTCGTTGAGGTTCAAGGAAGTTCTTTGAGGATTAATCAATGTCCAAAAAACATTTCAATGTACGAATAAATACCGCGCGTTTTTTGTGCAAAAAATACTGTTCAATTCAAAGTGATAATAAATTTATATTAAATACGTCAAATTCATCGCAGTTTATTTGATAAAATCTCAAATTACACACTCATGTCGGGCTTTTTCTGCAAATTTCATTATTAGTAACTCTTCATAATTGACGTAATTATTAGGATTTTTATTGTTATAATTTTCACTGTGATATTATAAAATACCAATAAAATTTACTGTGATAATAAAGCTAGCAAATGTAAATAAAAAATTGAAACAAATTATGGGTAAAATAAATTTTAAATTAAAGAGATATTTAAAACACGATGTATGAACGTAGATGTGTATTATGGTGCACATTTAATTCATTGGATTAGAGGTAGTGGTATCAGCTAGTGGTAGAGTTGTGAAATAATCAGACGGGTTGAGAGGAAGTAGAAATAAATAAAATTTACTAGTTTTGTGTGATAAAAGAAAAGAGTGATGAACTTTTATGGGAAATTATTCTGATTGTAAATGTAAGATAAAGACATAAATAAAAATTAGTTCATTTGTCTTATCAATTGTTGCGGTAGTGTAATTGGTAACGCTTTGCGTGCGAAAAGATGAAATAATCTTTACATAACAACTCTCAAACATTTTTAATTGATTATTTTTTGTTCAGATTTTTATGAATGTTGATAAAAAGTAGAATGATAAGTTTTTGAAATTATTTAATTCTAACTAATTGATGTTTTTATAATATTATATTACTATAAAAAAATTTAAATGGGTTTAAATTACTTTCTAATCAAGAATCATTTAAAAAGAAAAATAGATGAAATAATTTTTAATGTTCTAGTAAAGATTATTTATTGTTATCGACTGTCGATAACTGTATTGTTCGCCATGGCAGTTAACCTTTTTCCTTCTTGTGCCGAAATATGTATATACCTATACCAATTAAATAAATGAGGTTATCGAAATTAATTGAAGTATTTCATACTCAGAAACAAGCAATTTCTAAAGACGTTTTTGATGCCAAGAAAGCTGTTGAAAACTCACATTCCCACGAACAAAATTGGTATTTGTTATTCAAGTAATAATGTAAAATAAGAAAGTAAAAAAAACCTTGGAGAACTCAAAATTCTATTTGAATTGCCAATAAGACTGTTGTGTGCTTGACCTACAATCGAATTCTGCAATAACTAGTTTTTTCTAATGATTTTCGATTGGTTGTGCATATCCACACATATATATATACATATATACGAATAAAACAGATGCTTCCAAGCCCTGAATCAAACCCAATCTACTTCTGAAGCTGTTCCACATCAATCTGATAGTCTCGCATAGGCGTAGGTACTCGTATGAAGCCTTCCTCGATACACGCAAATATATTAAAGTGTGGTTTGGTAATCGATTCTTTTCGACACTCATGCGATAGACATACATATTTTCAACGAACGATCTAACGTATATTTAAAACGTTACAGTAGAAATACGTTCGTCAATTATCGTTAGAAACCTTAATTAATATCTTTTGAATAGTTACATAATAATACCATCCAATAACTATATTTACAGCTTAAATAGATAATGAATTAATTCGTAAATGAATATTTAAAATTATTTTTTTTTTTTAAAAGGATAGTTATATTTATTTATCTTTAATTTGATTTATTATCATATTATTTTATTTTCCTTAATTTTCTTTATACCCTGGAATGCATGGTCGTCTTTGTGGATCGTGCATTTAAGAGTACAATAATCATCGTTCAAAGAGATAACGACATAATGTTAAAAAGCAACGATGGATTAAAGTGCGCGACGTGCTCGAGTTAGTTCACAGAGGCATGGCGTTGTAAAGGTCTAAATTAGGATGGTAAAAGAGTGCAGTAGGGGTTGGTGGGTTGTGGTGGGGTGTTGAAGGTGCTTGTATGTGGTTCAAGTTGAGGTTCAGAGGCGCGATATGGGTCGTATTATGGTGGTTAAGATGGTTAAGGCTAAGGTGGTTACCTGTCGGGTAGGGTAGTCCGAAACTAGGGTACCCAGAATAGCCGCGGCCTGCCGCGTATGCCGCGTACGCTGCCGCTGGGAAACCTGTGAACAATATAATAATATTTTGTTAATTATAATTATCATTTTATACAAAGTAAAATTTTTTTTTATTACTTTTATTCATCATTCCATCCATTTAATCTTTAAAATAAATAAAAGTTTTATTCATTTATTAACTGCCAGTGTTTGGCTGACTTATGATTTTATTTTTTTTTTTAGAAAAATAAACACTATATATCTGAGTATTCAGAAACTAAATATTTGAAGGGTTTACAATTTTAAACGTCATAAACAATCGATAGTTATTTTGTAGATTAATTTCAATCGCTTTTTGCTGTTCACCAAAATGTTATAGTTTGTTTATGGTGTTTAATATTGTAACCACTTTGGTGTTTAATTATTAAACCAGAATTTATCCAGACTTGCAGTGAGTATTTTTTGGGAATTGAATTTAACTTTTTGTAGGGTTAAATTAAAGGATTAAAAAAATCCGGTTTTATTGATTTAGTGAGAAAGTAAGGAATAAAATTTTTTTAATAGATTCTAATAAATACAGAAGTAGTGATAATGTTTGAAAACGGTTTTATGGATTCATTTATTGATAAAGAGAATGATTTCTTATGATTACTATTTAGCTTAGTATTTGTTTTCAACAATAAATTTAAAATTGACAGTAGAATGATTGAAAAAAGTAATGTTCCAAGTGTTTTACTATAAGATAAATATCTCTGAGAATAGGTATAGTGTAGGAAAGTTTTTATATTCTAGCATTTTTATATGTTTCAAAGAAACTGTACGGAAATAGAATAATGGAATAAAGTGGAATTGTGCCAGAATATTTGAAAAATGTGGCCAATAATCAAGCGTGACAACTGGTATGTCCGCCTTACCACCAAAGTTGCCGAGAAACTCGTACATATTTTACTTACCATCAGGTAATGCTCCCAGGGACCACATAAAATCTACAAGGAAAAACAAAAATGATTAATAACTTTGATAAAAATAGGAGTGCATTTTAATTTCCGGGATTTACTTTAGTATTCATTTCTTTTCTCTTTCTCATATTCATCGTTTTTCAATGCATCTTTAATTACAAAAATTAGTTGATTTATTATAAAACAGTATTTTTAGTAGAAACGAATTTCTGTGAAGGACAATTTTTTCATAAAAAAAATAATGTGTAAATGTTATTTACATAATAATCCAGTATTGGTTAAAATTATTCTCTCAAAGCATTTCGTTTTAAAAACATTAAAAGATGAGATCTCCTCTGATGTTCTTCATCGAATCATAATTTTAATTTACAAGAAAAAATGAATTTTAAAATAAATAATAAACTATTTGCATAATATTTAATTACTGCATACAATGTAAATATAATATTCTCTTTTATTACCCATGTCTTTGATAAAATTATAAAAAAGACATGCTTTCTCTAAAATAAAAGTTCCAATACTTAAAAAAAATGAAAAAATATTTATTTATGAACCTAAAAAATATTTTTTTAATTTCCATCAACAACAAAAATATAAGAAATGTTTCAACTTCGATAGTTTTTTCAGAAAAAAATACTGCTGGGAACAATTTAATCAACACTGTATTATGTATAAGCAGAGCTTAAAAAAAACCCAGAAATTCGTATCAATGAGAAAGAAGAATAATATTTTGATTGACTTTAAAATTGATATTCCGAAAATGGAAAATATTTTGTGGTGAAAAATGGAATTAAGTAGTATATGAGAGAGGCAAAGTGAAACAAAGGATAAAAAACAAAAGGAATTAAAAGCTTCTAGGTTAAAAATATAAATATATATTGCATCCATGAAATTTCATAATTTGGATTACTAAAATTTAAATAAGATCACACAACTAAAAGACTGTAGACTATCGCATTGACTAGGCTGGTAAATCGACTAAACTGGTAATTGTAAAATAGGTTACTAAAATAATTCTACAACGCGTCCGAAGGTATTCCAATCTCTACGACAAATCAAAACCTTATTCTTAGATTTCTATGATTAATTGTTTATGTAGCGATTACAATATTTGGTTAATTTAAAATTGTAAAGTTAATTTAATAAGTATTCTAGGCTTTTTCTAAATTGGCTTAGATTATATTGACTAAAAGTAAACAATCTATTGGGATCAGACTTAAAATATTCATTTTGGTATTAAACATTATCAAACAATTAATATTCTGTTTTATTTAACAATATCTCGATCCAATAAGCAAATTATTCATTTAAGCAAAGTCAGTTAAAAATAACAAAAAGTTCTAGTTACTTTGTGATTTTAAAATAGTTTTAGAAAAAATTAAACAAATTTCAATAATGATACTTAAAACAATAATAATAATTAATATTATTAGATTTCTTATCTTACTAGTGGATTAAGAAAATGAATATATTTATGATCTCAGTAAATTATTTACAAACTACAGACACATTTAGATTGACGATATACAATATTAAAGAAACACTGACATCAATTCTACACTACTGACTCGCTAGTTTATCTAATTTCCATATTGATATTTTGCTCCACAATGTACGCAGATATGACAATATTAATTATGTAGCTTTGATTTCTAACTATATTAAGTACACTGATATATAAAATATATATAATTAATATTAATAGTTGTAATAATTTCGTACCTAAATTTGCTACTGGACTGTGGTTTGGATGTCAAACTGACGTGAGGCGTCAATTATTTGTTTGATTTGATTTTTCTTATTAAAGAGAATCGTGTCAATTTTCCAATGCAATTTAATTATTAATATCAGTTAGTTCACTTTGTAAATTAAATAAAGAAAAAGAGGTTTTAGATTTATTTAAACAAATTTATACAGTTAATATTAGAGATAAAAATAAATAAAAAATAGTTGATCAAGCTTCGATTTATTTAAGAAAATTTAAATGTAACTTTACATTATTTATTTTACGATAATAGATAATTCAAAAATAATTATATACTCTTAATTGATTTATTATTGATTCATTGAATTATTTAACATTTTTTATTTAACAAATCATCGCGTTAAATCCGGCCTCAATAAAAAATAAATAATAAATAGATATTTAGAAATAAAAAATCAAAAAAATTGTAATAAATAATAATTGTGTGAGTAACATGAGAAAAAAATGCCTGATGTTAAATTTCTGTTTCTACTTACGAAACTGACAGTGTTGCGCCTCTCGGGCATAGTACTTTCTAGGGCACACGTAGTCTCACGCATTAATTAATAATTAAAGGTACGTTGTAATATATCTTGAGAAATGTTTGATTATGTACCACGACATTAATAGGTAGGTTCAAGAGAAAATACGGGTATACGGAATGAGTATATTTAAACGTATACCCGCTACAAGGTATTAAATAGAATACGTAACTATTCATCGTCGCATAATAGTTTATAGTAGGTATAACTTGATAATAAGTCTCATTATAGCCGCCTTTGCCCGTTCCCAGTAGAAGATATTTATTCTATAACTTTATATCAATAAGAGAATAAGATTATTTATAACAGAAATGATAAAAATAATATTGTTTTAAATGTCTGCTTGATTACATTAATTATTTTAATGTAAATAAATAAACAAGAGTGTATTATAATTCCGATATAATTAATTAATTATTTATTGGTTAATATTTATTTTAAAATGTCTTCCACGGAGAACGACCTATGACATATTTCTAAACTAACGGCATTAATAACGGCTTTGTTAAATACTAATCTGCTAATTAATAATAAATATCAATAATCAATAATAATAACAATAGTATTAATAATAAGAACATATATACTGTTCACAAATTAATTAATAATTATAGTCTAACTAATTATTTAATTCCTAAAAGGATCACCTAGAATATTAATTATGGATTATTTTAATTTTTATTATTTTTAATACTAAATATATAACATAAGTGTTTACCTATACCTAAAGTATACTCCGATATGTTTAAATCTATTAGTAAGTAATCAAAATAATAATAGATAGTTTTAATTATCGAGAAATGAAGTAAAAAAATTAATCTAATTTTATATAATAAAGTTTTTTTTATAAAATAGATTTTTTAATATCAAATTCTACGTAATTTTTCATTAGTAAAAAAACAATATTTTTATATATATATGTGGTTTTTTGCTTTTTTTTTGTAAATATTTTGCCGTTATTTAGTTTCATTTGTGTTTTAGGTACTTAATGAGTAAATACTTATGAGCTTAAATTGTTTAACCACTTTTATACACGGAATGAATGTATATGTTAATATATATATAGATATTTATATATTTATATATATATATAAATTTTGAATAATAGATGTATATAATTTTTTTATAATTATTATAAATAGTTTTATTGATATTTTATTCTTATTAGAATTTTTAGCTTTCAGAATGATTTTTTTTTTACGAATATAGAATATTTTTAATACTTAATATTATGAAATTTCATGAAGTTGTTGCGAGAAATGTCTGAAAAGGCGCAACAATAATTTTACGAGCTACTTTATTGACATCAATCCTGCTCGCGTTCTTTCATTCGTTGTGTTTCTTAATTTTGTTGCATATTCCTTGATGTATTTTGCAAAATTTTATTACAATTCTTTTCATCAATCTTTTTTAGTCATTTTATTCTTTACATCTCAATAGTAAACAAATGAATATACGAAATGCCACCACACGGAATGTGTACTTATTATTACAAGAGTTTTTTTTTGTTGTACTTTAGTCCAATATTTTTAAATTCAGAAAATCCTACATTTTTTTATGACTCCTCTAATTAATGTCTTGTCTTCTGATCATTTTATTTATTACAACTTAAAACATGTTTGTCAATCAGTATAATTAAATTTATTATTAAATATTTATATACTAATTTTTTAAAAAAATGATTTGTTTCATGTTAAAAAAAAAAGATTTAATTAATTAGAAAATTAAGAAGGATTGAGAAAAAAATGAAACTCGATTACCGGAGATAAAAATGCGATGCACACTTTTAGAGGTATGTCAAACGAGTAGATTTTTTCCCCATTAAGATTATCTAAGTTTCACGATAGCTATCTAGTAAATTACGGAAAATTGACAATCTTTCAGTTCTTATCGACGAGGGACTACGGGAGGATTTTTGATCGCCTTGTCATCATCACGAACTCATTCGAAAGCCTCGTGAGAGGTAAAAGTGGGTGAAGGGGGAGTTTTGAAAAGGGAAATTGAGAGCCCCGTTTCGCTTGAACCAGTTGCCACCCCCGACATGCTTCGCCAGCTGAAGGCATTAAGTTCCATAGGATTTTAATTGAAGTGCTTTTAGCGGTAATTGTGATAGACGCTGAAACTTAATTATTCGATATAGCCGGTGGGCTTACGGTGAAACTGAATTAGGTACTTCGCAGCTGGCATAGTTATTATCCTTCTTTTCTCAGAATACACGGGGTATTTCTCGTCGTTACCGATTCACATCGTGGTTCGATAATAAATCGCCAAGTGTCCTGCTTGCTCTTCTCCCCACTGTCGTTTTCTCACTCGCGTTCCTGTCGTCCCGTTAAATTTATATTCATTGGATCGCAATGTTCGAGCGAGTCCTCTTGATCGCAAGGCATTGAGCAACTTGAGAAAAGTAATTCTCTATCTTTCTACTATTTTTTTTTTTCGCTAAGTTTTTTTTTTGAACACTTCGTTATTGTCTATATATCTACGCAATCTGACCATTTCTACTGCTACTTCACTACCAGTCTTTCGTGATGTGCCTTCACATTTTTTTTAATTTATTTGATTGACGTTACTTTAGGCCCCGGTTTGTTTCTACTTTCTACTAAAATCAACAATAACATAAAAATCCAATTTCAGTTGGATGCTGAAGTAATAAAGTTCAACTTCATTGTGATTTGAAATGCCAACTTCAAAAATCGCATCAATTATTTTTGCAATAAAAACTTTAAAAGAAACTTTTATCGTGAAAATCGTTAATTAATAAATATTTGAACACTTTGAATTTAAATAAATGTTTCTTTTATCTATTAAGTGAAAAATCCTCCAATGTATTTGTAGCAGTTTAGTACTAAACTCTTGACAAAATTGGGAAGGCAAAGTGCTAATGAGTTTCTATGTTTACACTCCAGTTTCTACTCTGTACGTTGTGATCTCTGGAGGCGATTTTTGAAATTAGCAATTATCATTGCATTTGTTAATGTTCTTCAAATAATAGAATTTTTGTTCTTAGAAAATTTATTCGACGGAAAATTTTTTCACTATCAGCCTTTCTCATCTTTATAAACTTGAATAATAAATTAAAAAATCTATCACTCCCTAGAATAATTTACGTAAAAATAAATAATATTCAGAATATCCCACTTCCCAACAAACTAAAAAAATACTAATACTTTCTTCGTTGAATATTTTTGTTACGAAATAATATCACTAGTGTATGACTTTTGATAACAGTAAGTCTAGTCAATTAGAATCACAGTGTTTCTTGTATCAAACAGTCTCATATGGAATTTTAGATCTAAGAAATTCAAAGAAAAAAATTTTGAACCTTAAGGTAGTTTGGCATTCACATATTGGTAGTTAAAATAGCAATGACTCTCTTTTATTTTAAGTACTGTTTTTGATATTAAGATGTTTTCCACTGAGGGTTAACCTGTGTCGATTGTTAATAAATCATCAACTTCCGGTAAAATTAAAAAAAGATAGTGACAAGAGCTCGTGTATTTTTGTAATACTTCCAGTAATTGTTTCTCCTAAATAATGTAGTAAAAAAATCTCTTTTTTTTCTTAACTTATAAAAATATGATCTTTCAGATCAATTTCAAACTATCAATGTCAAACTATCTTAAGGCCATCTAATATTAAAAATCTTTCAAACTATTGAAATAAGTAATAAAATGAGAGAAAGATCTGTTCACTGTGGTCGAGAAAGAGGAGTCAAAATCGTAGGTCATAGTCCAATAGTTGGAATGGGATGATAAACAGCTCCCATGTCAAGCCCTTGGACTCCAAGAAGATCACTCATAGAATAAGTTAGAGCAGTACGTGAGGCAGCAGCAGCTGCAGCGGCTGGATGAGGTCTATATGCAGTCGCTGCAGCAGCTAAAGCTCTCTTAACATCATAAACTGCAGCAGCAGTAGGAGTAGCTGCATACTGGTATGTATGTGCGCTTGGTGTGGTGGCAACTATCGGCGCGAGCAGATGATGTGGGGTTACTGCCGTGGCAGCAGCAGCAGCATGAGCTGCTGCTGCTGCTGATGGCAAAGGGTACGGCGCGTAGCGATAGGTTGTTGGGGGTGTTGCGACCATCACCAACTCACCGTATGCACCTCGGCCGGCCGCTCGCGTTTTTGCCAGGTTTGCTGGGAGCATGACTTCTTTTGGTTGCGCTTTTTTACACTCGACCTGCAACACAATTTATTTCATTATGCATTAATGAATTCATTTCATCAGCTATGAATGATCAACATTCAACATCATTCATAGAAAGTGCACATGAACTTCAAGGAAAATTAAACTTGAGTTGAAATGTTGATGATGATAATGAATTTTTGATGAACTAGTAAATTATAATGAATGATTATATCACTTAGTCAATGCAGATGGATTTGAATGGACTAGGATAATCATGTGAGCATAAGAGATTCCCTCAGGAAGGTCTGCTAACAAATAATACGACGATCTAGAGTAAAGTAGTGTAGAGTCCTGGCTTCTGTATACCTGTACCTGTTTACCTCTCTGGTCCCCTGTCCTTAAACCCCTCCGGATGATTTCTCCTGTATGTATGTCAAATACAAATAACCAACGTGCATTCCTCGATTATTCAGTGCATTAATTCTGTTCATCTTCACGTTCATTGTTGGTGGTTAGTAAATAACGCTTCTATGATGCAGAATTTACTTTCATCTTGGATTTCATTCAGCTAAGAATGTTATCAAGTTGCAGGGAAAGTAGTTCATGTGAAGTTACTTTTTTATTTTTTATAATAAAAATTTTTTTAATAAAAAAGTACTTCACTATGAGTTATTTTTAGAAAGAGAATTCTTGATAACTTGAATCTATTGGAGTTTTAATAAAATACCAATGCTATACACAAGTTAGTTTAACTTAAAAGGAGCTCATTTCTTAGGATTGTAATCTTTAGATAGATTGAAAACTTACCATTTTGTTGTTGATTTCGTGGAAGTGAATTTCGCACACTTTGTCGACTACGTCCTCGCTTTGAAACGTGACGAAGCCGAAACCTGTAAAAGAACAAATATGAAAAATAGAATAAAATAGTACTTAATGAAGTAAAGTCTTCTTTACTCCTAGTAAATTAAATGATTTATGATTAGAGTCCAGAGCTTTCACTAATTATTACAAAGTATCCTCCTCCTCCATGCAAGATTATATAATGATGCAGTGAATTAAACGGTCAAACATTCAACTTACATGGTCTTCATTAAGCTTAAAGATTAGAGAAAACCGTTGGAATTTAATTAATTAATTTACCTTCTATTTTTAAAAAGAAGTTGGTAAAAGTTTGTCATTGCTTCAAATAATTTCGTATTCCCATTTATTCTTCTTTCTAAAGAGCTTTTACTTCCAGTTGAATCTTGGATTAATTATTCAATTGATGTTTATTTCAATAACATAATCTTGGAAGAAATATTTTTTCCTTTATTTATTTATATTGAAAATTTCAGATTAATAATTGAAATAGAAATCCAAGTAAAATATCATCAAAACAAATTAATTTTCAATTCAGTAAAATGAAAAATGACATGTTAGAATATTGCCTAATATTATTAGGCAATGTTCCAGTAACGATTGCTCCTATTATTCCAACATGAAGTTGTTCAATCTTCCATCCAACAAAAGTCGATTATAAAAACACAAGATCTGTACTTATTCATATCATTTAAACGAAAATCAGAATAGCTTTTATTTTTCTCATCCTTCATTTTCATCATTGTTAAGCAATTGTTGGTTTTTTCTATCATTTCTTAATCTTCTACCCTTCTGAATGTTAACTCTATCAACTCTTCTTACGACAAAAACGATCGGGTCACTTAAGTAACAGAATTTATACCTCTCTTACACTCAGGCATCAAACTTCTCTGAACCACAAGGCTTTTCATTCCTGATGGTTTTCACAGTTGGAGTTTGACCATGACTTGACACCAGCATCATTTAACTTGCTACAACCTAACTCTGTGAAACATAGAACTCTAGGATCTTATTTGCTTGTTGGTCTACGTTGTTCAGTAAGAAGTCTGCTGGATGTTGAATTCTTCATTCAAAACTTGATATTAATTTTCAACAATGTTGAAATAAAACATTTACATTCAGAATTGATTTAAATGTATATTTTTTATATTTATGATGAAGTAACATCACATTTATAAGTACATAAATGATGAAATTAATGTTGTTTGATATAAATTTTCCAATGGTTTTATCAAGAGCTTAAATTAAATTAATGTTTCATTAGGAGTTTAACAACGAAAATGAAGTGTACAGTTGGTGAGTAATCCCTAAGGGATCTCAACAAATTCCATCCCAAGTCAACAAAGAAAAAAAATGGGAAAAAATAAAAAATATAGATACATCCAATTGGAATTTTCATAAGGGAATTTATCCTCCCTTTTCAAAGCAAACGCATACCGTGAGTTCACCTTTGGCTGTTTTTTTTATACAGAATCAAACAGATAGAAGGCAAAGTGGTTTCCTACTCTCTCACAATCCCATTGAGATTCTCTCTTGCTAATAAAAAAAATTGCTGATTCATCCTTTGCAACACGTCTGCCAGATGTGCCTATTTTAATAAAAAAATAGCAAAAAAAATATTGCCAAAATATCCACCACGAAAACATTTACTTTTTATTATTTTTTTCTTTTATATTCACTCTTTTATACTTTCTTGGACATTCGCTAAACTACTTTTCATCCTTTTAGCTTCGAGTTTCTTAAATGATCCTTAAGAATATCCAGCAGAGGAAAATTACCATCGGTTATCTTCGTTTTTCTCACTTTCGCTTTTATTTGCCGTCAGAAAGTTCACTTCATTTTTTATCTTACCCTCAAAAGAATCGTCCATATTACCAGACACCAAGAACTCATTTAGTTCATTTTCTTTTCTCTTTATTATTTTAATTCATGGTAAAAATGCAAATTGTGCTAAACTTTTGCTTAACAACGGACGGTATGGTTCATTAGAAAAATTAATCTGAGACAGAATTGTTTTATATTAAAATTTTTGAGGTTTTTTCTTCGCTTCAGACGAAAAAAAACAAAGCAAATATTTTTAAATACTACAAGAATTGTCGTGATATAATTGCTGTAGTTTAAGAAAAAAATAACACCGTCTTAAAATGAAAATTGTTTCCAGAGGAATATGTACAAAAGCTTTGCTTCAAAATTTTTTTTATCATGGAATTTATAAAACGACTATCTGTTTAATTAATAATTTCAAGTTCTACTTCTTGTAATATACCAAGAACTATTTTGCCAACAAGATATTTTTATTCATAAGATATTGAAAAATGCAAAGAGAAGTTTTTATATTCACATTTACTACTTTTAAAGTGAAAAATAATAAATTTTTTACTGTATTTTATTTTTCAAAAAAAAAATGAGATTTTATTCGTAAAAAGAGCACACACATCTTCGACCTTTCTATCTGCACTTTCGTTTTTGCACTGTGCGTTTAAACTCAAGTGTAATGTACACCCTTAGGGTATTGCACTTTTACATCACGTTAACATTTAAAAGCCATCGTTTAAAAGTAAAAAAAAAAGTGAAATATTAAAAAAGAAAAGAAAATGCTAAACTTTACAAATAGTGTTTGAGGGAAATTTTTAGCATTTGAGGTAGATATCTACAAAGATTCATTGCAAAAAGGGAGCTTTCAAAAGCATCTCACCCTGAATATATAAAACTCGCAAACACGACGACGACGACGACCCCTTGCACCCTATTTCAGTTTCTCACTCTTTTTTTTATTTTACAAATTTCTCTCCCATGCATTTGTTAATGTAAGTACGTCTGTGGTAAAGTGGTCCAGTCATAAATTTGCTTTTACTTTGGCATGTAGAGAATAAGAGAGAGACTTTCTTTTTCATTCTATTCGAGAGATTCTGAAAAGTAATGAATCGTCGTCATTACCGGAATCGCGCTTCTTCTGTAGCAGTATAAGACGAAAGTAGACCAATATAGATTTTCAATGGACTCTCATTCGATCAGTAATTCAATAATTAAAATTTTATACTCAAGTGTGTGTTTGACAATTTCAAATAAATATACTCTTACTCTTTTCATGACCAAAAGAAGATTTAAAAGTTCACATGGTGCAAGATATAATTATTGAGGTTATTATTATTGATATAATTGATAAAAGATTGAATTGAAAATAAATTTAAATCAAAAAAGTTTTGGCCATGAATGTGCTAATCGCATGATCACGCAGTATAATAGTTTAGAATTTTGTCCTAGACTTCGAATCGGTCCGGATTACCGGCGAAACTGAGTCAGCGTTGCCGGTGTGCCATTGGTGCAGTAGAAGCGGTAGTACATTCAGGTTTTCCGAGATAATGCGGGAAAATCTCGGCTTACCCCCATCCTTGTCTAGGTAATTCCTCGTTAAATATCGCTCCAATAGCACATTCTCTCGCGCACTTAATGTCCAACTCATAAATTGCAGAGGAATCTAAAGAAAAGTGATCACTTTATTGTCAATGAAAATGATAGAACTTTCGAGTGAGAATTATCATTGTGGTACAAGTAGACTCTCAATTTATTTGTACATTAGTGGCTAATGGGTTGGTCAAGGAGAAATGATTTTCATCAAGTAAGAAATCAAATGGGTTTAATAATATAATTTTGAACTATTCTATACAATATTTTATCATTGTTAATAATAATAACAGATTTTTTAAATTAAAAAAATATTAATATTCGTACCTTTATCATCTTTTAGTTCTTTTTGTTTACAAAAAATTGCTATAACACACTTACGTATAAATTTACGTACGTACAATCATTTTTAAACCTTCTGATATGCTTTAAAATGCTTTAAAACGTAAAGATATGACAAAATTACGAATTTTAAAAAGCGACCTGGCTATCTTACCCGCATTTTAAAAGAAATAGCTACAGTGATATATACTTGTTAATTCATGAAAAAAACATCTTTTCATGGTTACCCAATAAAATTCTTCTTATTATCTCGGAAAGAGATAGGAGTTTTAATTAAGACAGATGAAATAAAAAAAAAGATCTCTAAGAAAATCCCTAAAGTATAATTTTCAGATCTCTTTACAGGTAGTTTACTGAAAAAATAAAAAAAAATGTCTATGTGAAATTTTCTGGTCAATTAAAATGTTTATACTTATCGGAAGTTTATCCAGTAATAAATTTGGAAATGAAATTTATAAAAAAAATATTAAAAAAACACTGTGACATGTCTGGTTTAACGACATTCTAGGGAGAATACTCGATAACGGCATCGATCAATTAATTACTCTCGACGTGGTGAACGAACGAGTGACTAATTAGACTGGATTGAATCCCAGGGGTGACAAATGCAGCCTTTCGTTTCTCTCGGTACATTTTCCATTCCTTCTACCTACCAAACTCTCATCCATGTTGCTACAGAGCATCCTGATGCATACGAACGTCCGATCAATTAGGATTCAGCTAATTACAATGTTCCAAGGAATTTAGAGAAAAATTTCCTCGAAAAATTACCACCTGTACCAGTTTTGTTCCAGTTATGTTAATGAAAATTAACTGATTTTTTGAATAAGAATAAAATTTCATCCCACATTTCAATCATAAAAGTAATAAATTAATATTCCATGACTAAAATGATCTGATATTTGATTAATACTCCTAGAGTATTTTAAAATACTTAAGCATTCCTTCGCTTTTAATTAAATCTTCTTTTCCATTTAATCGAAAATCAAATGGATCTAATCCTAATTCATTTTATTTGAAGATGTTTTATAATTTATAATGTTTGATAACATATTCCATCTTTTTATCAGTTACATCTATATGATCTTTTTTATCTTATTGAATCAACTCAAAGAATTATTTTTATTTTTTATTCGATATGAAGCAACTCTATCTGACCCAGAAATCAGTAATGAAATGGAACTAGAGCTTTCTCTCTCATTTGGGTAAAGTCAAATGGAAGAAAAGAGGAAATTCAGCAACGAAGATTAGGCAAAGCTGTGCAAGCTGGTGCTTCTGCTATTGC